TTCCCTCTTATGGTGCCCTTCAGCAGCAGGCGCACACAATCATGGCTGAGACATGTCTCACATACATAAGCTTTGAAGATTTCAATACCTTTCTGGTCCAATCTCCACAACAACTATCTGGCCTGAAGACTCGGTATCCTTTATTGGACTATGCCACATGCTTCTGGGGTCATCACTTTCTGCAAAAGGATGAAGCAAGGGCCGAGGATCTCAATGCACTCTTAGAGCGGTTCTTAACTCAGGAAGCCGCGATTAGACTCTCGATCCAAATACTGGAGTCCCGCGCATTCCAAGACGGGTTTTGGAATATGAGAAAGCCTACAGCCCTCCACATCCTTGCGATCTTCGATCTTGCCGAGGTCGCCGCTAAGATGCCAGCCATCAAATCTCATCTCACAAGCCGAGACGATTTCAGCCATGTGCCACTTGAATACGCAGTTTTATACCGTCATAGAAAGACAACAAGATGGCTTTTGGACGAACATTTGAGAGACTTCAAGCACGACCACCATCGAAGCATCGAGATTCTTCAGTCTTGCAAAGCTTGGTTGCTGCACAGCGTTGCAGAGGAGAATTGGGACGACATAGTGGAGGATTTGGTGTCAATGGGGTTCGATGTTAACGCCCGTGACCTTTCAGGAGAGTCTCCAGTTCATGCAGCTGTGAGGACTTCAGCGAACAGTGCTCTGAGTTGCCTCTTGAAATTAGGAGGTTACACTAACGGCAAGTCTAACGACTTGCAAACTCCTCTTACTTTGGCAGCGCTTCACATGAATTCTGAGGGAGTGGAGATATTGCTGAAAGCTGGAGCTGATACAAGACAACCCGGCAAAAGCGGCATGACTGCACTTCACCACGCCGCTGGACTTGGACTTATCGACGCAGCTCGCAGTCTTTTGGATCATGGGGCCGACATCGATGCAACCTGTTCACGCAATTCGCTATTCTTTGGACAAACTGCACTGCACTGCGCTGTCCGAGCAAATATGACGAACATGGTCCATCTTCTGATTGAGCGAGGGGCCAGTGTGGAAAGGCAGACATCCTTCGGAGACACGGCGACGTTCATCGCCTGTTACATGGGACATCTCAATGTTCTTGAGTGTCTTATTCAGAACGGTGCCAACATTTCAGCCTTCAATCCGAATGATAAATCAACAGTACTCCACGTCGCGGCAAAACGTGGGCACCACTCCCTCGTCAGACCTTTGCTAGCAGTTCAGAGGGGACTTTTGAACGCCGTGGATCAGAACAGAGATACCCCACTACTCGCGGCGCTCTACAAGGGTCAGTCAGAATCAGCCGAGATACTTCTTCAGTCAGGTGCTCGTTCGGACGTGGTTAATGTCAGCTATTCTACACCATTACAAGTTGCCATCGAAAAAGAATGCTTGACAATAGCCAAGTTACTACTGGAAGACCCTCAAAATGTCCCAGATCAGCCTGGACATCACAGAAAGACGGCACTGCATTACGCTGCGGAGAGAGGTCTGGTTGAACTGCTGCCGTTGTTTCCAAGCCTAACAACATGCGCAGAGGCAAAAGACAAGAGGGGATTCACACCTGTCCACCTTGCAGCTGCAAACAATCATTATAGGTTCATTGCCTCTCTGATGAAACTAGTACCTCACTTTAATGTACAAGGAACGAGTATTGATGGCTGGACGCCCCTTCATTTAGCGGCCAGGGAGGGCGCCGCAGATGTCGTCAAGCTCTTATCAGCAATGGACCCTTCCAGCCGCACCGTCAAAGATTTCAGATGTCGACTTCCGGTGCATATGGCTGCTCTATCTGGAAATAAATGTTGTGTGGTAGAGCTTATTACGCCCGAAACAATCGATTGTCAGGATGCCGACGGAGCATCACCTCTGTGGCTCGCCTGCAGGGATGGCCACCATGACACGGTGAAATACTTGATTGAGCAAGGCGCCAATGTCAACACCACAGACGGGTGTATGCCTCCAATCTTCATTGCTCTGAATGAACGCTATTTTCGAGTTGCGAACCTTTTGCTGGAAAGCAATGCGGAACAGAATGCAGAGGACATGTGTGTAAATGGTGTCACTCTGTTCCGCCTTGCGGCCCGCTCTGGAGACGAAGACCTTCTCAACCGGTTTTCGAAACACATCCATAAGGAACTTCTGAGCACTTCTCGCAATGAAGAAGAGCTTACGTTCGATGTGCGTGGATGGGACGCCATGACTCATGCTGCGAATGTTGGCCACGCCAACATGATTGATATTCTCCTCAGGTTGGGGATACCGATCGACGGCCTGGGACAAAGCATGATCAGTCCTCTTTCGATGGCCGCACAATATGGATACACAGATTTCGTCAGCAAGGCAGTCTCACAAGGTGCTCGAATACAAAACTTGGATTACAATTGGAACAGAAGGTTGGGAAGAGATTCTCTAATTCATGCGATCTTGTATCGACGAAAGCAAACAGCCGCCGTTTTGCTTGCCCATGGTGCTGATCCAACTATCAGAGACGTTTTTGGAAACTGTGCAATGGATTATGCCGCCAAACATCCCCATATGTGGGAATTATTTAGTTCCCGGAAAGAGAACTTATCCTCGCCAAGTTCAACTCTTCAAATTCAAGCCAAAACACGTCTCATCGTTGAGGTTGCCCAGAATACCAGCCATGCCAAAGATTTTGAAAGACATCAGGCGCTGGTCGAACTATCAACGGGATTACTCCTGCTGAAGACTCGAGCCAGTATCGAGCAAGCTCGTCTCTGCAAGATTGAGCTAAAAGAGAAACATTGGAAAGGGCGTCTTGAATGTGATTTCTGCTCTGAACCTGTACTGATACCTTCGTATCAGTGCGCGGTTTGTGAAGATTTGGATTTATGCCGGACTTGCTACAAGGACTATTGTTCTTCTACGCCACCGAAAACGATACCAGCGCAGGTCCGAAGGTTATGGAGACTGGAACGCGAGATATTTCCAGTTCTTCGAGTAGCAGAAGTCTTCCGCACTTACGGTGCTGAAAAACTTCCAACCTGCTTTTGGTTACTAGGAAGCTTCGCCGACGACTGGATAGACGCAAAGACGAAGTGCTATTCGCGGTGGGCAAAACGTTGCAAGTTGCGAACGAAGTGGGGACCATTGAAGCCACCAGGGTGGCGTTTTGTTGACCTCCTTGATTGTGTACGGACGTTGAAGTGGCTCGATCCACAAGAGGGGACCGAACAGGAGCCCGCTCGAGCCCAGCATCTCAACAACATCCACGCCGAACTCTCCAAAATCTATAATCGGTTCAATCCCCGGAGCGAACCAAACAAGCCTACCTGTAACGGGCATCATTTCTTCGAGATCTTGCCTTACAGAAAGCTTTCTTCCCAAGATCAGTACCACTTCAGCTCGGACGGCCGACTTACAGACGCGTTCTTTGAAGGATTAGCTCGTCAATACTCGGCCTCTGACGACGATATAAACACCAATACTGACACTGTATCAACCAATGTTATGGTTACATCCGATTTTATGGATGAAGTCGAAGGGGATGGCTCCACTCACTCAAATGGGAGCGATGCCCGGACCAAGGAGAAGTTGAGAACAGTTCATGAAATTTTAATGGAAAATCGTGGTTTCTACTTGGGAGGAGCGTTTTGTGAGGATAACCATCGACTGGATATTCACGAAATTGCTTGGAAACTGGCACATGCCATGCTTCAAATCCCGTACGAAGGATCACTGGATAGTACGTCGTCTTTCAAAAGCTTCGCTTGAGTGTTATCATCCCCTGCGATGAAGTCCAACGGCAAGGGCGTCGCGAAGTCAGTACGCCCGGAAGGGAGGCGCGGGATGCTATGTTAATACCACCAGCCGACGTCAATGACTGTGTAGGCGAGGGAAATACTCTTTGTGTGGATAAGGACCTCTTTCTTTAATGCCTAGGAACCAAATTCAGTACAAGATTCGGAACATTGGTTCTGTTAGGAGCTCTTCACCGAGGAATCTGGCTGCCCAGTCCGCTCACGCGAATATTCAAGATCAAGACGTCGACGTCGGGTCCTTGAGGACATTGAAGAGCTCGACTCGAGGGCCCTCCAGATCAACACCAGTGATGGCACCTCACCTCTTCTCCAGGGCGATAACGTGGGGTTAGAGGCTGTATCATAAAACGCCCCGTCTGCCGACTTACGTGCTCCCTGCCAAATGTACCATTCAACTTCTCACCTCAATACCATTCCATATCCCCATTCTACCTAGGCGTGTCTGATGTGACGTGCTGTGATGGTGACTGGCTTCAGCATAGCTTACCATGTGAGTCAGACCCCGAAGGCAACCATGATGACCAACCCTTTCGTCCCTTCCTTTCCTCTGGTCACCGTGACTCACTACATAGACTTCTCTTTCTACCTTGATCCCAACAACAAGTATTAACAGTCTCTCGTGGTGTAGTGGAAACATGCGTTCTTGTCGCGGACGCGCCCCTGGTTCGATTCCGGGCGGGAGAGAAATTCTTTTTTGCACCTGCGTCTCATGAGCTCAGCTGTAGGGTGCGATCAACTTTCATTTTCCAAAAGATCATACTTAGTAAATGTATTCACTGAAAGTATACGGTCTAGGGTAGCAATTGTATTCGCTATACACAAACGTTTAAGCATGGAATTCAAGTTGCATATGCTTAATCTCTATATCTGTACTTGTATCTCACGATAATTAAACATCACGGAATAATCTATAGGAAATGTACGCCTTTGGTGCGTTGATCATACGGAATCGCGTCTAATCTGTGGAGGTAGCCCGCAGGTTGCTATATAGACTTGGGGACCACGCTTACATTTCTTAACAGTGAATCAGCGAGGTTCACATTCATAAGATCCAAGAGGTATATTGCACATGTAAGCTTGCCGAACAAGGATGGAAGGCAGCAATCATCACCTACCTTGTGGTTCTTCCGTCTCACTTTGCGGCAGTGAGTCACTCCCCGAGCCTACCTACATAGTCTTCTGTGGTCGTCTAATCTTTCAACAACAAGCAATGAAGTCTCTCGTGGTGTAATGGTAACATGCCTCCTTGTCGCGGTGGCGCTCCTGGTTCGATTCCGGGCGAGAGAGATATTCTTTTTTCTTTTTTGTCTGTTGAGAACCTTGTGTGCGTTGGATGATGTTTTTTGCCCTCGTGATGGCCATGCCACGCCTACTGAGACACTTTTTTTCCCTTTTTCTAATCAGTTATTGTGCGTAAATCTTATCGAATATAGTTGTGCTCAATGTGGCGTGCCTTGTCCCGAACTTATTCTGCTCGATCTCGCTGAACGGAACTCATAGTCGATGTCGCAGCCGGCTCCGAATCCACGGCCCCACCTCCCCGAACGCAGACCCGCCACGGAGAAGTATTGCTGTCGGCATGCCAGACAGTCGCCTCTAATCTAAGCATATTCGATGGGGCAAAGAATCATGCAGCTCGCCTCAATTCATTGAAAAGTGTACGTTCCATAGGTACCTCCAAGAGGCCGTCCACATAACCGGATGTCCAAACGAGATTCTTAAGTTTCATGAGTCCGTCTGACATCCTCACGTGTGTACACCGAACGAGCAAGAATGCTTCTCTTAAGTCAATGACTCAATTATTTGTGGCTATAATCAAACTATACACATGCTGCCTCTTTCGCTTGTTGAGAACCGTTATTTTATGAAGCCACTTAGACCCTAGACTTGTTTGTGACATCCTCCACAGCCTCAGCCTGACCAGTCGCCGTCTTACGCTCACTAATCGGCTCCATGTCCTCATGGTGAATAACCTTCTCAACGGCACCATTGGCCTGCTCAGCAAGAGCCTTGTCCTCAAACACTGGGAGCGAACGATCAGCCACATCTTCATCACACTCATCACACACTGAAACTCACAGAAAGCCAGCTCCTCGAGCGTGCGTCCCGCCGTCTCCGGGAACATGAAGTACACAAACACGACCTCGAACGCGAGCCAGCAGCAGTAGCTGATCAGGTACCGCCAGCTCGCGTTCTTGATGCCGATGGGGTTGACAAAGGTGGTGAAGAAGCCGGCCATGCGGCCGAAGAGCTGGAAGAAGGAGATGCCGCGCGAGCGCAGCGCGTACGGCCACAGCTCGACGAGGTAGGTGTACGTGAGCGCGTTGTAGCCGATATTGTAGCAGGGTGAGTACATGAAGATGAAGAAGATGGTCGCGATGGAGGCGGACTGGTTCTTGTAGTCGTTGTCGAGGGCGTGCACGGCGCGCTCCATGGAGATGGTCCACGAGATGTAGCAGAGCAGCAGCGAGATGGTGCAGGCGAGGTACATGACGCGACGGCGGAAGCGGCGCACGAGCAGCGCGACGGTGACGCCGCAGACGAGGGACCAACAGGCGATGCCGACGTTGATCTTCTGCTTGGTGAGGGAGTCGTTCATGCCGATCATGCCGAGGAGGTCGCCTGGATGGGTGGTTAGAAAACAAAACTCTGGGGGAGCCGCCACGGGACGTTTTGGAAGGGCAGTACCTAAGTAGTATGAGATGAGAGTGTTTCCACTCCATTGAGTGAAGAGGCCGAGCATGGAGGTGATGAGGCAGCGGCGGCGCATGCCAGCGGTGCGAAGGAGGTCCATCCAGGATTGCTTGGAGGCCTCCATCTCGAGGGTGATGACGGTCTTCATCTGGGCGATCTCGGCCTTGACGAACTCGGAGTTGGGGTCGCCCTCGGCGTGGTACTTTACGAGGATCGCGTTGGCTTCTTCGGTACGGTCCTGGGTGATGAGCCATCTGGGGCTCTCGGGGAGGAAGCTGGGGCGCTCAACGTTAGGTGTTGTCACGGGGGATGGGGAGAAGGGAGGGAATGTGGTTGGCTTACAAGACAAAGCTGATTTGCAGGAGAGAAGGGCAGATCTGGAGCAGCGATGGGATGCGCCACGACCAATTGCTAGCGATGTTGTTGGTGCCGAAGCAGATGGCCGCTGCGGTGATCTGTCCAACAAAGTAGGCAACGTTGAAGCTGTAGAGCTGTCAGCTGTATTCTGGAGGAGTCCGAATGTGGGAATGGCTTACAGAGAGGTGAGAACTGGACGTTCCTTGGGGTATCCAAGTTCACCGATCAAGGATGAGCCAGAGACAATACAGGTCGGGATGCCAAAGCCGAGAATCATGCGGGCGACGATGTACATGCCGACTGTTGGAGTATCAGCTACCACGATCAGTAATTGCGGTGTAATTTACACACCATGCTGCGAGAATCCTTGGATCAGAGCTCCCAGGATCATGATACAGCTCCCGCCAAAGATGGACCATCGCCTTCCAAACTTGTCGTTGACGATAGGGATAAAGGGAAGCGACAGGATCGCTCCCAGCGAGTACGCAGCCGCGATGATGCCCTTCAAACTACCCTCAGGGTTCCCGAAATCTAGCAGGCACAGTCAGTCTCGGCGATGCTTCCCTAGCTCTCCATCCTCCGTGCGACTACTCACAATCCTTCCAGGGCTCGACGATCTGCAGCGCATTGATCATTTGCGAGTCGAAGCCGGACGTCAGCTCGATGCCCATGCACGTCGGGAAGAGCATCAGGTAGAGGTATCGCAGGTTCGGCTTCCGGTACCACGGCACCTTGTCCTCCTCCGAGATGCGGGTCAGGATGGGGTCCGCGGCCCCGGTCTCCTGGGCGCGCTTGATGGCAACCATTGTCGCTGGTCAAGACCTTGCAGGCTTGGATGTTTCTTCAGTTCGGGGAGTCTGAGTCCGAAAAGGCGGACGAGGCAGAAACGACGAGAGTATCGCGGACGGTTGGGGACAACAAAATGGAGAGAGAGAGAGGGAGATGGGCTCGATAGAGAGGTTATATCCGCTTTCATACAAGACGGGAGTATATACTACCGAGTCCAAAACGCCTGGGGTTTGTGCAGGCTACGGATACCAGTGCGCAAACTTCCTCGATCCAATTTCCAACACCAACGCGTCTGCTCGACGAGGTCCCACCCCGTCTGTTTTTATATGCCATAACACCCGCCAGTGTTACCCCATGCTCGGATTCCCGTCTGACCTGCTTCTCCAAAAGCAGACGCAACAGCAATGAGTACCGGGCATGGGGGTGGTTGGTTGGTTGTTGTGTGGTTTGGAATAGTCCCGAGGGAGGGCGTGCTAAGGCGGGAGGACGGGAGTGCAAAGCGACGCCCAGGTGGTTGAAGGCCCGAAATGAAATTGAACAATTGCAAAAGAGCCGGATGGTGCCAAGAGGCCGGGGTGTTTGCATTTATCCATTCAGTCAGATGGCGGCGCGGTGCATCTCGAGGCTCCATTCAGTTGCTTTTTTGACGGGGGAACCAGGGAACGCAAGCGGCGGTCCTCCGACTCCAGGTTCGAAGGGAGCCACTCAGAATAAGACTGCGGGGAAGAAAAGGGGGGGAAGCTTTCCTCCCCCACACTTGGTTACACGGGTTTCTCCCCCATGGGCAGCGCTCACATGGTCAGATGTAGGATGGTTTGTGCTTAAAATATGGGTGGACGAGGGCGGTAACTCCGCATCTTGTTTGGTGAACCGTGAAGGGGAACGACGCAAGCAACGGGCTAGCTCCAACTTTGGATATGGGGAATGGCTCAATGTCGATGTTGGTCTAGACGAGGGTTGCTTGGCGATAACGGGGGACGGTGGCCGTATTCGGTGATTCGGGACGAACCTCGAGCGAATCATCCCCGAGGTTCTGGCGGAAGTCCGAGTTGGAAGCCGGTGTTCTGGCTCACCACCTCCCGCACTGCTTGCCAACGTGTTTCTGGCAGGTTAAAAAGGATCCATCCGTTCTCAGGCGGTGTTCTGGCAAATCTGATTTTGGAACAGGGCTAGTGACTCTCAAATGTGCGGCCTCTGTCCAGTGTTGTATCGAAACCTCCATGTCAGAAAGGCGGCATGGCGCTTACATGAGTCCGAACATGCATACGAAAAGAGCAAGATAGTCGGGGTTATTCACAGTAAGATGCAGGTGTGCTCATGCGCACCTCTGCCGAGAGCGCCTCCTCGCAGCACAGCTCATCTAGCTGAAGCGGTAGGGGCAAGGGCTGCGAAGAATCAACACTTTCTTTTTGGGACTTGTTCACACTTTTGACTGTGCCTCAAAAGCGCGAGGCATGCCAAGATGGTGATTGAAGCGGCATGCTGGCCCATTGGGTTGTCAGGTGAGGGCTACTCTGATCAATTACTACGCATGGAAAAGTGGATGGGCCCAAGACGGCGTTGCTGGAAGCTGTCCCGGCAGAATGGTTTGACGGAACGGCGGAGATGTAACCTTGCCGCAAGAGCTTCAAAACGAGGACGGGAAAACATGGTGCCTCCTTTGCTTTTGGGTTCTCCATCCACTACTGAGAACGGACAGTAGTCATAATACTTCGAGCAACAAAACCATTAAAGGAGGCATTAAGGCTCTACTTCATAGAGCACGATTGTCCAAAGACGGGATGAACATCGCAGGGTGTGTCGCCCGGCTGGGGTAATAGGCAACCTCCAACTTTCCCCAATACCAAAAACCACCACACCACCCCGGCAGCAAAGCCAGGCAGATCCTCCAGTCATCTTCCTCCCCCGCAAAGCAAAAACACCAGGAAGGAGAGATTTCCTTGCGGGGGAGGACAGTACCGCATTCCCGATGGCACACAATATTCACCACGCAGCAACCTGACTCGTCCGCTGCCCTCTGGAATCTACTCTAACTCGCGGAATCGCGGAATAGCAGACATCTTACGGTCAATACTTTCCGCGTTAACCACACCTTCATCGCAGAGGGGGACAAACAAACCACCGCCGCATCGTGAAATCACGGAGGCACACCCCACTAAACACCAAACCGGCAGGGGTGCGCAGCCACTCCCGTCTGCCGGCATGGGGCATACCGTTAGCCGTAAACACCCGAGAGAAGGGCCGATTGCTACGGGGTGTCGAGGGTAGATAATCGGGACGTCGTCCCTGAACTTCTGACCCCAAGTTCTCATCTGCTTCCGCCATACCTTCGTCCTTTTTTTCCCCGCGCCAAGGAAAAAAAAAAAAAAAAAAAAGAGGGAGGATACCGCCAAGGGCCCCCACTAACACACCAAAAACGTGGTTTATTTTGAAGACACAACATCGGG